TGAGGAAAAAAATGAACTTAAATGATTTTAGCATATGGCTGTAATATAACAGAGTGAAAAATTTAAGGGGGTCTGAATACTTTCCATACCCACTGTATATTGAAAATACAGATATGACAATACAAGCCATTTTTGTATAAAATATTGCAGATGACATAAAAAGGAAATACTCCAGGAGGAAGCAAACTATATACAGCTATTATGACAATACAGAAGCTTAAAAACAAAAGATAAAATCCTGCTGCAGAAGTTACGTTCTCCGAGCTCGGTAGCAAGGTTAAAAGTGTTTTATAACTGGATACTACTCAATGCTGCAGTGGTTTGAAATGTTTGAAAGGAACAGAGTTGAATATAAAATGTAAAACCCAAATGTTTAAAGGCTATAAACAAAATGTACCTAAGGTAACGTATCCATCAGCACATAACTTACAAGAGAATATTTCACATCCTGACCACGTGGACTGTATGGTAATAATTGGCAAACAAAATCTGAAGCAGGAGAGGGTAAATCAAATTAAAAAAATGAAAGTAAACAGCTAGCTGTTAAATAATGTTAAAGAATCATGCAAAATGAAAACATGCTGTGCGAAATGTGGTTTACAGTTTCCCCTGATGGGATCAGATAATTGAAAATCCCAATGTGGTCCCAGGGATTTATAATTTACTCCATAAAACTGAGAAATGAGTCAAATTTAGTCTCATAAAAAGGCTATTCCATTACCCCACAAAACAAAAGTGAACAAAGAACATTAAAAACAAAAAGCACAACCCTCCTAACTGCACACTACCAGTGAAGAACCAAAATACCATTTTCAGACTGTGGAAATTTGTGTTTTAATGTGCATTAGGATCATTTCAGACATAGTGTCCGGAAGTTAGTTCTTCTGACCAACAAACATGACACCAAGACAAGACAAGACTTGTAAAAAAAACAAAGTACAAACTGCTAAGAAAAGAAAACTAAAGACTGGGGAGGTGAGAGGAATACTCCCATCACTGGTCAATTATAATATCTTCTTTTTGAGTATGAGTGGTCCCACGTTGTCGCCGGTGAGTTCATTGTGCTTCAAGTGCGACTTATCACAAACAGGAAACTAAAACAGAAACAACAACATTAGTTGATCAGCAAGATGCAGAAACATAAGCCCTCATTATCCAGACAAAATAAAACAAATGTAATCATTTGTAATAAACCCACTGTATTTATTTTTCACTATGTGATTTGTCGCTATGTGACTAGCGTTGACTACAGTCCTTGTGCCTCTCCATGCATATAGAAAAGGGCCAACAATAACCAGCCAACTTACAGTTTTGGAGCGCCAGCAACGACAGTAACACACGTTTGCGCTGTTCAGGTCCTCGATGTCTATCTCGTTGACCACTTTCGGGTTCTCTTTCTGGATCTTCAGGTTGATCAGACTGTCTTTCTGCTTCTTCTTCTTAGGTAGAAATGGGCGAATGGTCAGATAGCCCAGCAAAGCCAGGACACCGAGGAGAGGCAGCAACCGGAGCCAGTCAGACACTGCAGACACATTACATGCTCATTAACAATGGATTATTAACTCGGAATGCCTATGAACATTTGCACCTTCTGCAACTAGAAGGTAAGCTCTTGTTACCCATAGGCTGAAAACGCATTTATTACAATCCACATGGGTGATAGGCCTTCATGTGCATAATGGACTCTCTAAAATTTGGAACATAAGTTTATTTTGTCTTCCAAAAGTTGTGCGTGTTTGTTGTACTACTACACATAAACATCTTTACTCGTGATACATTTTCATGATGAAAACGTGGCTCTACCCATCGCCACTGAGATGATGATGTGTCTGTATCTGTACTAGCTGTGTAGAACTAGTTCACCTCCCATCTACTATTCTTATCTGTACTGTCTCACACCAACAGCTACCAGGGCAAATGGCACATAAGTGCTTATGCATTTACCCCTGGGGATTAATAAACTTAACTGAATCTTGAGTTTTGATCAATGAGCGTTGAAAAGTGCTTTAAGAAAACCCATCACACAATCCACCACGCATGAGGAGGACTGATGAGTGAAGCACACAGAGGATTAACCACAGGTATGTCATTTTACTTTCCGCTACAAGTTACAACCGGGCTTCTGCAACTTTTAATAATACTCTTATGGTAATTAAAATAATTTCAATGAAAATATTTTGATGCCTAATGGGACATTACTAATCCTTAATCTTTTTAAGGAATTATATTTGGTTTATTTTACATGTAGGAGCACTTAAATCTTTCACTGATTCACTGTGATTCACTAAACAGAACTTCAAAAAAAAAGTCTGGAAACATAACTTGAAACTAAAGTACATAACACCAAGACTTTGGCCGATGCTAATCACTTGGTAATTAGGAACACACTTACTAAAACCTTTCAGGCTCTGACTTTTGGGTTTTATTTTTAATCTAAATTTGACCATTTTCAAAGGTGCTGGCTAAAAGGTCAAGTTAAAGTCATCAGTCAGCTTCAAGATGCACTTTCACTTTTGTTTTCTAAAGCACTGCTGTATCTGCTGACTCTCCTTTATTTACACAGTGAAATTATTTTGTTCTGCTTCCTTATTTAGTGGCATGTTGACTCTAATTGAGGAGTTGCAAATAAATTAATGCACTACCTTTTGCGTTCATAATTTAATTGGTGTGAGATGCTCTCTTTTCTCCCTAATTTCAGGTCTGAGAATCTCACTGCATGGAACTCATCTGAATCAGCTTGATGGACGATAACACAAGGCCAGGGATTGCTGTAATGTTAACACTATGCAAGTGATAGAAGAAACACTGAATTTTATAATGCCACTGATTAATTAACTGTTTTTAAAACAATTCAAAAATTGAGCTCCCCCAATGCACCTGAAAACAGTGTTTTACTGTTAATTATTAACAAATCATTGCAGCTTTGCTTTAAATTAAGTACAGTTCATTTACATTAAAAATGTTTGATTTGCAGAGGTTATGAGAATTTTGGGGAATAAGACAAAGTCACAGGGCTAAATTTTGTAAGACAATTATCTTCAGGCAATGTGTTTAGAGCCTGTGTCCTCTCATCCAGGAGGAGCTTCAGGTATGTGCATCACCTGATGGGACCGAGGTGGTAACGTGCTAGAGGCACAGACTCACGTTTCCAATTGTTGGGATTGACAGGACATAACGTATACAGAAGATGACAAGCTGCAAAAGATGCAGACACTTCATGCTTGCACGCAAGCAAACCTAACTGCGACGAGTATAGGTTTTTAACAGGCACTGCCTTAAGGCCATTACTGAGCTAATGTAAACAGAGATGCAAATGATTATAAAGAGTTTTATAGGAGCCAAATAGCATTTCTTCACAATACGACCATGACTGAGTGTTCGTTTGCAGGCTAGCTGCGGTAAAGAGCATAAAAGTGTCCCCGATGTCATCTTCGTATGACACTCAGACGAGCAACTCAGTTGCTGCTATTTACCTGTCAACTTTGCAAACCCGCCGATCGTCTCCGGAAGCGGAAGCCTCTTAAGATAGGCTGGAAGCTGGACTTTTATTATCCTTGAAATTGTTTCTAAAGACATCTTGACTTGCTCAATTAGGCAGCTTTTATGTTTGAGTTGGAAAGTTCCTGGGGTTCGTTTATGTCATTGCGTTCATTTCTGCACGCAGCCTAACACCGGTACGTAAACTCCTCTCGTGAAACTTGGAAACGACCGAAGAAAAGCGTACTTGTTTTCGTGCATATACGTAGCAACGATATATGACGGTGGAAAATAGAACCAATCAGCGTTGAAAGTGTTGGTGTCTCCTGATTGGACTACTTGAATTTAGCATGACTGAGGTGGCGTATGCCTGCTTCAAGTGCTCCTTGTAAAAAAATATTATTGGGCAATATTACAGAATATGAATAAGTGTATTTATCAAGGAAGTATCAATGTGTCAACCATATAAAATGTCCATATTGGGCACTGATTACATTACACAATCAACTAAATTCCTGGCATACACTTGAGAATCTTGTTCTCTGTTTACAAAAGGAGTAGTCCTCTCACTTCCCCACAAATATACGAACACCTCCAACAAAACTGCTCACATAGCCTACTAAAGAGCCAGTTTTTCATACATATAAATATCTTTAAAAATCTTTTTTTACTAAGCTGAATTTTGACTA